TTCTCTTTTGAGTTTACAACCTAATATGCTCATGTGGAGGGGTTTACGGCCTAAAGGTTCTCATGGGGAGGATTTTACGCTCAATATGATGCCTAGGAATGTGTTCATGGTCAAGGTTTTGATTAGCCAAGTAATTCACGGCCAAAGTGGCCCCTCGAAAGTTGTTCACGGCCTAGATTGCTTCTCCTTAGGTGTTCATGGCCATTCTTTTGAAGTTTATGGTGGTTCACGATCATGTTTGTTTCTAGGGAAAAGTTCATGGTCCTGAAGTGCATATGAACTTTAATGTATTTGCTTTATGTAATATGGCTAATGTCTTGACGTAACTTAATTTCTTATTGGTTTTCATTGACTTAGGAGGCTTCAGGGTAGTCTAATTATCAAAGATTACATTACCAAGAACGCAATAATAGTATAACTATAACGATTACATATACAGGACTCCTTTAGCTTAGCTTTTGGACTTGAAATTTCCAATTGTGACAACGAAGGCGTGACAATACACAAAATCCAATAGACTTTATGATTTGATACTCTGATTTTGACTCCATGTTGTAAAAGAATGAATTTATGGTGTTTAACTTTTATGAAATGACTTTTAATTCCTTTTAAAATTTGAAAAACGTTTACCTTGGTGTTTAAGACGTTACATATGGTATGATTAAAATGTCATGTACATAATATTGGACTTATAATTAACTTCTCCTTGTCAAACTCAAAGTCCTTGTTTGAAGTAGTTGTTTGCATACTGCTCCTTGTTCCCCAAGGACTTTGAGTTTGACAAGGAGAAGTTAATTCTGTTGTGGATGGCAGAAGGTTTTTTGCAATCAATGACAAATAAGACAATGGAACGCTTGGGTCTCGAGTATTTTAATGCGTTGTGGTCAAGGTCATTTTTTCAACCTGCACCAAATGATAGATCGTTGTTTGTGATGCATGATCTCATGAGTGACTTGGCCACATCTGTTGTTGGAGAGTTTTTTTCAAGGGTAGACATTGGGACGGAGAAAGAACATAGGAATGAATCATTCGAAAAGTACCGTCATTTGTCATTTGTTTGTGAGGAATACATGGTTTCTGGAAGGTTCGAGCCACTAAAAGGAGCTAAAAGTTTGAGAACGTTATTAGCGGTATCTGTTGGGGTGATAAAAAATTGGCAAAGATTCTACTTATCGAATAAGGTCCTGAAGAACTTACTTCAGGAGTTTCCATTATTAAGGGTCCTAAGTTTGAGTCATCTTGGCATAAGCGAGGGACCCGAATTCATTGGCAGTCTAAAGCACTTGTGGTATCTGAATTTATCTCTAACTGATATCAAGCTTTTCCAGAAAATGTCTGCAATCTTTATAATCTCCAGACATTGATCCTTTTTGGCTGTGAAAGTTTAACTAAGTTGCCCAACAGCTTCTTAAGGCTTAAAAACTTGAGGCATTTGGACATTAGGAATACTCCTGGTTTGAAGAAGATGCCCTTAGGGATTGGTGAGTTGAAAGGCCTACAAACTCTCTCCAAGATCATAATTACAGGTGAAAACGGATTTGCAATAACCGAGCTTAAAAACTTGCAAAATCTCCATGGGAAAATTTCCATTTGGGGGTTGGGCAATGTACAAAATGAAACGGAGGCACGCGGCTCACACTTATCACAAAAGAGGCTTACCGAGTTAGAGTTGGATTGGGGTTATGGGTTATTGCAAACGAGGCTTAGTATGTTGGAGTTTGCTGTGAGTTTTGGGGATTCTGAATTGAACGTTTTTCGAAAGGAGACACTTGATAAGGAGGTCCTTACTGAGCTGAAGCCTCAAGCTGATAGTTTGAAGAAGCTTGAAATTGTGTCATATGCGGGGTATAGAGTTTCCTAATTGGGTTGGGGATCCTTCGTTTCTTGGGTTGACTCACGTGTCGATATATGGGTGTGAAGAATGTACATCTCTACCAGAACTTGGGCAACTACCATCACTTAAGGAGTTGTATATTGGGAAGATGAGTAAGGTGAAAGTTGTAGGTTGGGAGTTGCTTGGAACAGGTGTTTCATTCCCATCCCTTGAAATTCTAACTTTTGATAGTATGCTATCATGGGGGGTATGGTCAGCCGATAACAATGGGGTTGTAGATGCAGCAGTGTTTCCATGCCTTAAAGAGCTTATTATTCTATTTTGTCCTAATCTGGTTGAAGTCTCACTTGAAAAACTACCTTTACTCAGAGTTATGACAGTAAAAGGATGTGGTCATGGTGTGTTGACAAGCCTGGTTCATGTCGCTTCATCACTCACCAAGTTGATATTAGATGATATTTTAGGTCTTACTCATGAGGTGTGGGGAGGTGTTATGAAGTATCTTAGGGAAGTTAAAGAAGTAAGAATAGAATGCTGTAGTGAAATAAGATACTTGTGGGAATCTGAAGCAGAGGCAGGTAAGCTTCTTACGAATTTAAGGAGGTTGGAGGTAGATAATTGTTCAAACTTGGTGAGTTTAGGAGAGAAAGAGGAGGATAATTAAGGGAGCAACCTAACATCTCTTAGGTGGTTGTGGGTATCTGGTTGTGACAGCTTACAGCATTGCAGCTGTCCAGATAGTCTTCGGTCATTGTTTATTTTTACCTGTGATTCAATTACATTTGTGTCTTTCCCAACAGGAGGAGGGCAGAAGCTCAAGTCACTTTCTATCCGGGACTGGAAGAAACTTAAATCGATGAATGAATTGAAGTTCTTCATCCATTTGACCTCATTCAGAATAGATGAGTGTCCAAGTCTGGATTCATTTCCATTTCCTAACCAAGAGTTGCCGAATCTTGCCTCGTTAACACATTTGGAAATAAAAAACTATACAAGTCTGGATGCTTCCTTTCCTGGTGGGCTTTGGCCTCCAAAACTGTGTTCTCTTACCATAGGAGGGTTGAAGAAGCCCATGTCAGAGTGGGGCCCACAGAGTTTTCCAACCTCACTTGGTTACCTACATCTATATGGCGGACCATATGAAGATGTGACTGATTTTATTCGGTTGTCCGGTCTTTTTCCTTCATCTCTTACTTCTCTTCGCATAGAAAGATTTGAGAAATTGGAATCAGTTTCAACGGGACTCCAACACCTCACCTCCCTCCAGCATCTCAGCATTGTCAAGTGCCCAAAGATGATGGATCTACCTGAAAAGTTGTTGCCTTCGCTTTTGAGTTTGGAAATTACTGAATCCCCAAATCTGAAAACAAAGATTAATATAGGAGGCTCGTATTGGCCAGTCGTCTCTCTAATCCCCTACCTCTGGGGATGACTTTATGTTAATTTGAAGGTGCGTCCTTCTCTATGTATTTTAACTTCTTTTTGTTTCCTAATGTATAAATTAAATAACTGTCAGTCAAACAAAAAAATTTAATATTATCTCCTTAATCCAAGCGTATTTTACAATAAAAGTTCTATTTGGGACTCGATACTTTTTTGTTAACGTGGTATGCTTACTGATTTAATATGACTAGGGTTGTCAACATGGAAGTGTCACAATGGACTGCAAAATGAATTAAATTGGTTAACAAGTCAAATACTTTGAAATTAAAAAATCATTCCATTCGGATATACAAAATAAATGGTGAACTAGGGTTGGTGTGTAGACCTGTCGTTGTCTGTTAAAATTACACAGCTTCCATTTGGAATGACGATGATAATAATAATATCTTATTGAAGCGGTTTAAATACGTGCAAAACATGAATCTTTTGATCAACTAGATCCACAATTAAATATTAGTAGCACTGTTAAGCACTGATTTTTAAACGGAATTAATACTAATTAAATCCATTAAGGTTTAGTAGATGGAATTCTCATCTACTAGATCGATTTTGACTCAGCTAAATATTATTGTATATCTGTGAAACTATTGTGAACATAAATGCTATTTATCTTTCACTTCCATATATTTATTTGTTGCATAGTTTTTCCTTTTAAACCATATTTGGTATTTCTTTTTAGCTTATTTCTTTGGAGGGACCATGAGATGTGTTTTATTGTTTATGACTCATTGAGTCATTGTTCAATTCTCTGTTCTTTTGTTATTTGGTAAAATATTTGCTAAATTGTGCTTGTATAATTACTTGACATAATGTATCCATTAGTCATTTCAGAATGAACAACTTCTGTTGATTTCATTTTTACATGTTCTGAATTTGTGAAAATCTAATTTAGATGTAGAGGTGAAATACCACTTGCTATTAGTTACTTGGAATTAGTTACTGAGGCTTGTATGTGAGATGAGAAACATATTTTGACACCTGTCAAGTTGAACAATGATAATGGAAAACTAGTCCAACTATCCTTTTGAGAACTAAATCTCAATTAGGTACAAAATTGCTCACTGATTTCAATTGCTCATGTAGTTGCTTAATCTTTTCACATTATATATTGACATTCATGTTCCTTGTTTGAATGTCTTTAATTTGTTTTTTTTTTTTGTAAATGTATCTTTGCAAAGGCTTTCTGTAAGTATAAAATTTTGAGTAGTTTCCATAACTCTATGACAGTAGGAGCAATTGATTGATGAAGGGGTGCATTAATACAATAATGAAAGTAATTATTCATTTCAGCCAATTTTGAAATTTGTGGGAGTTATCATAATTGTCCATGGTTTTCAAAATAGTTGCAATTTGATGCTCCCACCAAATATTTTTCACCATTCTGTTTGTTGTGGCTGAATAATATTTGTAGTGATAGAGTCTTTAATCACTGCTTCAATTATTAGACTTCACAATACAAAGTAGAAACAGTTACAATTGCAGGAAAACAAATACATGAATCTCATCTTCACTTTACTGATTACAACTGGATCTAACGTAGGAATGATATCTTGATTACACTATATTGAGTTACAACTTATTTTATACAATACTATATAACTGACATGAACTGTTTCTAAATTCTAATAACAGAAAAACAGCAGAAGAGACAAGGGAAAAACTGTTGTTTGTGATGATTAAGGTTACAAAAGCGAGATGTGTGTTGGTGATGAAACAGTTGCTTCAGCAGGATTGTGAAGAAAGGCGAATCTGGTTTCTGTTTTTTTCTTTGGAATATGAAGATATTTAAGAATGAGAAGAGAGGGCCAAATAGCACTACTGAAGAAGCAGGTATAGTCGATCAATGTATTTTAAGTTCAGTTATTCATAGATCAGCATGTAAAAACTTGTTTCATGTTATCTAACTCCCGTTGAATGTTATTTGCATGATTTTTTCCCCTATTCCTCTTCATTATAGATTTTTGTTACAATTTCAAATCTCAGCATAGAAATGTGAGCGCAAAATTGGCATTATTCATTTTACCTTCCCAAGTGATGCATCGACTTGTGCATATGCTTCTTCGCAAGTATATCCAGCCATTTGTAGTGCAGGTTTAGTGTGGAGGCATGGTTGTTATTTCTCTTTATCCGACTCTTGTTTTAACTTTTATGTTATAAATTTCATAAAATTACAAACTCTCATTGTGGTTGTCAAAAGTATGTGGTTTTGGTCCAAAAAAGTGTCACACCCCGAAACCGATAGCGAAAACGTTCCAGGGCGGAGGACGTCATGTAAAGTATGACAACCAATGTACATAGTAAGCATAGTAACACAACCATTACATTACATAGGAATATTTACATTTATTTGAAAGTAAAAAAATACATGTTTTATATATATCAGTACGAACAAAAGTAAAGACGAGACTTCTGAACGCTCCGTCTTCTCTAAAAGAATGCAAGATACTTGTCTATTGGAAACCTGAGAATACAAGCAGTTTTAGAAATATCAACATAAAGCTGGTGAGTTGATAAGCGGTTTATTTGTAGTGAAAAAATAAGTTTTCCTTTGGTTTTATGAAAAAGTTGTTATCCAAGAAAATCTCATATTTTCTTATAAGAGAAATTTAGTTATCCATTTGTTAGACATCCCGGTTAAGAGAAGTTAATTTATCTCAGGAAAAACCCTTATTTTCCTTAACAGTTGGTGGTTGGTTATCGATTCGGAATGCAGTGTACAAGTATCTACCATACTTGTAGCATTTAAGTGAAGTATCCTGAAAGGCCAGTTATCCTTGAAAAGTACACTAGTTTTAACACGTATATAAAACTAATAAGTAGGTTGTAAACTAATTACCTAAGAGTATTAATTTACTAAGTTCTTTATTACTTAAAAGTAAATCTCTATTATCTAAGTTGCGAGTTCTATAACCATACGATAAACTAGATATGGCAAAAGGCCAGTATCATTTTATGACTTTTGTCACCCGTAGACCTATCGGTCCCACTGTAGCTAGCAGCAAGTTGCGGGGTAGTCAGCCCCGTATAGATATATACACTCACGTCACACTCTCCTTCTAAGAGATTCTGGTTACAGGGGCGGTCCTCCACTCGCGTATCTCCGTGGAGTGTTACAGAGGACGTGTCTCCAATCTTAAGAATAACGAATTTACAAGTAATAATGCGGAAAATCCTATTTTAGATTCTAGTTACAAAGGCGGTCCTCCACTCGCATATCTCTGTGGAGTGTTTCAGAGGACGTATCAAAAGTTCTAAAATTAATGATTTTAATAGTAATGATGTGGAAAATCATTTGTGAAATATAAAATATAACATTTTATAATGGGTTTCGCAATTAGTTTGAAAACTAACTCTGCAAGTCAAACGGTTGGTTAATATGGTTATCAATGTTATAAACATACTGAACATGGAACATTTCATACGGGAAATGTGCCGGTTAGGATGATAAGTGTCAGTTTAAGGCTTGAACACACGCGAGGATCCTATATAACATGAAGTGATACACAATTGTATCTAATTAGAGTTTGAACTACTAATTAAGTGAGATAATACACTCCGATGCGCGAAAACACTTTATCTCAAGTGTTAGAAGTGATACGGGTTGCATCTAAGGAGTGTAGGGCCTAGATAAGGAGTTTACTCTTCAAGTGTAAACCCTTAGGGGTGTTTATGGTCCAAAGACCATATTCCCCATGAGTTTACGGCCATCAACTCATGGATGGGGTGTTTTTGGGTGTCCAAAGGTCTTATAAAGCATAAGGGAAGGTTCTAGGGTTGATTCCATGGCTTAGGAAGTGATTGGGACTTGAAATGACCTTGGAAAAGGGTTTTACGGTTCTTGAAGGACACTTGGGGAGTTTACTGCCATAAACACATGAGCTGTAAACTCGTGCTTAGTTCATTCTTCATGTGTTTTGGTGGTTGTAGGTTAAGCATGCAATGTTCTAGACCTAAATATAAGCCAAGCAAGGTGTTAAGGGAACTTAAACACCCTTTGGAGGTGTTTACGGTTTTGGGAGATCTTCCCAAATTGTAAACTCAAGTGTGTCTCATTTGTGCATGATTTGGTGCATCACATGAAGGAATATAAGGTTCTAGGCACTCATGGAAGCTTTTGGAGGTGTTTAAGGGGCAATTTAACACCTTAAAAGGTGTTTATGGTCTATGAAGGTGTGTTTACGGTCCAAGAATATTCTTGGGCTGTAAACTCATGTTTACTACCCAAATGACATGATTTTGGTTTTCTAGACTCATACATGCAAGTCCTTAAGTCATATCTAAGCACTAGAAGGGATTTGGAAGGGTTTTGGGGATTCAAAACCCTCTTATAGAAGTTTACGGTTTTGGGAGGTGTTCCCAAACCGTAAACACATGATTTTGAGAGTTTTGGATGGTTTAAACACAGATTTGCATGCTTAATAAGTTAAACAACAAGCTAGGATAGATCACTTACGATTTTGGAGCTTGAAGGGGCATTTTTTGGATCAAAACTCGAGTTTTAGAGAGAGTGTAGAGAGAGAAAGTTATGAGGAGGTGGGAAAAAGCTTAAGTGAAGGTTACTCATCCTTTATATAAGGCTTGAATTTGTGGCCTAGAGGAAATCTACCCGATACCGACGTTAAATGGGGTTTACAATTTTACCCGATTAAATAGTCGTAACTCGACTTAGTTGTAACTAAAAATTTTCCAAATAAATATCGAGGGTGTTTTCACGTGATTTTATTTCTTTCCGAAACTTAAGAAAATAAAATAAAAACATTAATTTATTTGCCTAACCCAAAAGTTAATGGAAAATTTTTAATAAAAATAAATTTTATTAACGGAAATGGGTTACAATGACAGAATAAATTTCAGGTTGTCACAAAAAGTATGGTGCAAAAGTTAAGTTTGGATTCTTTGTATGGTTTTGGTCCTAATGCTTATCTTTTTTTTTTCCATAGTTTTGGTCTATACCATACTTGAAATGATAAATATGCCTTTAATTGATTC